TGACGGCGGGAGGGCCGTGGGGTGGGGGCCCCTCGGAGGCCTCCCGCAGGCTGAGGGGGCGCTGGGCCCATGTCCCGTCTCGCCCGGGGGCCTGCTTGTTGCTCCTGTCGCACTGGCCCCAAGCCGTGGGGGCCCCTGGGACCCCAAACGGTGCTGTCCAGACCTCAAGCCTCCTGTCCTCAGGGTGGCTGCGCGACAGCCGTGGGGTCCAGTGACCAGAGTGGCCCGGAGCCCGGCCACTCACCTGCCAGCACGGAGACCCAGCGGCTGCCCACACACAGGAACAGGCCCCTGCGGCTGGCGTCCAGCCAGAACTGGGCGTCTTCTACCTTGGTGCACGGGGGCCGGTCGCCCAGCGTCACCTTCAGGTCGCCTTCTGGGGAGACCGGGGGGGGGGGGCCACTCAGCGGTGCGCCCTGAGGAAGCCGTCTGGGCACCTGGCCCAGCGCCTCGGCACTCTGTGGGCAGCCAGGCCCTTCTGCCCACCCCTGGCCACAGTGAAGGTGGCGTGGCCGCCCCCAGCTCTGCGGGCTGCCCAGAACCCAGAGGCCTGGGCCCCACCCGCCCCAGGACCCAGCTCCGTCAGACAAGACCTGCCACCGGGTGCCCAGACACAGCCATGCCTCTGGGCGTGGGACGCCCCCTCCAGGAAGTGGCCCAGGCTGGCCTGCCCCAGTTGGGCTCCCCAAATGTGAGCTGACCACATGCTGGCGGGGCTGGTGTGGGGCGGGATTCCAGGTGTGCACAGCAGTGGGGTCCACCACCACCGGGACCCCACCTCAGGAAGACGCGGGCAGAGCGAGGTGAGCAGAGCCGGGGCCCTGGGTGGTTGCAGAAGAGAGAAGCCCCCAGACCAGCCCGGGAGAGGGGCAGAGCGGGCATCCCACGGCGCGGACCGGCGGCATCCCGGGGTGCAGGAAGTGGCCAGCATGGCCGGTGCAGCGTAGCCACTGACCGTGGGTGTGCTTCAGCACCTCGTTTTCCTCTGGCTTCCCCGGCAGGCCCCGCAGGATCGGCGGGATGGACAGTGCGGCCAGCTGGGCGCCCGTGCAGGGGCACAGCCTGGGTGTGGCGTCCGAGCCGGGCAGCAGGACCAGCTGCCGCAGCAGGCCCTGCAGAGAGGGGCAGCCTTCCAGTCCCCCGCGGCCAGGCCCCGCGGGGCAGGGCTGTGCAGGCCGCTGGGAGGGTGGGGCTGGGGCCAGGAGGGGCTGG